TCTGTAACTTAACCAATGACCACCAGTCGAGCACCCCGAACCAAAATGCGCCTGAAAGCAATGCTGGACATGACCGAGGGCTCCGTGGAATGCCCCACGACGCCACGTGGCATCATTGGAGAAACTGAAAGCACTCTACATGCCCTCTGTTGGCATACCAGTGCACAGCAACCCGGCTCTCAGCCAATACCACAAGAGGCTGGGAGAGTGTAACTATCATTTGATGCAAAAAGCTACGTGGAATTGAACCCATATGTTACATGGTTCCTGGTCCAGTATTCAAACATGACACTGCAGTGTTTTATATGCCACTGTAAATAATGCACCAATAACAACAGTACTACAATGCAAGACTATGTGCAATATTTTTGTCAAAAGTTATATAGTGGTTTGATATAGACATAAAAACAGTATGTAGTAGCTGAAAAAAATTTCATGTTAACAGGGCTGATGATTAATTTGACGGCCAAGTACATGTATTCAGAAAAATAAATCTCATTGCTGGTGTATATAATACACTTTAGAATGTTCCTGTTATTACAGGCAGCTCAACCAACATAACTATTTGTCAAAGCAATGCCCTTATTTTATTCATGATCCATTCAATACAACATAAAAAAAATCAGCTTGCCTGTGCATTTGGCCCAGACCTACTGTTTAATGTATTTCCAAAAAGTGTTGTGTTTTTTGTTGCCGTTAAAATCGAACGAAAGAGCTGCTGTACGAAGCCCCATCTGGTGAATGTAGGGGCATTTTCGATTTCCTTGCATGATTTATAATGCGAAGTAAATATTTAGCGGGGAGCAAAATAAGCATTTGATGTACTTTTTGTACAGACTGTGCAACTGGAAAAATATAAAGAAGTAAAAAAATTGCCCCCTTTATTACCCCCTTTAACCACAGTCCTGTATCAACAGTACTATGAATTAAATGATTGTAAATATTTGTCCTCCAAGTTCCTTGTGCCCTGACATTTGTCAAAAGCTTAACCAGTCATAAAAAATGGATGTACCTGAAGCCTGTCATGCATACCAATAATTTAACATACTGCTCATTCCCTTCTTAGAGCACTGACTTTATGTCTTGGACCTTTAATGGAAGATACTAGTTATACGTATTGAATATCGAGGCTATGTTAGCAATATGTTCTACGCACCGTAATATCAAGAAAGACTGAAGCCTCGATCATAACATAATTTAAAGATAAACAAGGTACTGTTGCAACGCTAAAATAGTATATACTACTGCGTCTTGCTTCTTTCAACAATTAACGTAAATAAATGTTCATTACACTGATGATGGAAGCCTTGAAAGCACAGTAGGCACTGCACCACGATGGTGAGATGTTAACTACCTTGCCTGGTATACAAGAGGTCGTGGAGTTCGATCTCGACCCTGACGCCTATATATTTGGAGTTTGCATGTTCTTCCCGTGGTCGTGTGCATTTCTCTCTGGGTCCTCCGGATTTCCCCTCCACATTTCCAATCGTGCGTCTGTTGAGCAATCATTTGTGGCCGGGTCGCTTCTGAAAAAGAGCTATGTTGCTCAGTGGGCCATATCTGGTAAAAAATGTTTTATATAGTTTAGTATATACTTCTCTGTGTTTGATTGCTATATTTTGTTCCTGAAAGGCTCAAGCTCAGCTCCTCTCGGATGGAGGCTAGAGGCAGTGGATCTTTTGTTTTGGGGAGGCCATCAACAGCAGTGATTCACACAGCTAAGGAGAGTGAATTTGGGTTGGCCCAAAGGACATTTGGTGGTGCAGGCCACCACCACAGCACTCACCTAGCACAGGCCCTGAATAGGCTCCTGATACTGTGCTGAGATTTTGTTTCTGTAAGGAAACCTTTCATTCAGGCTGCTGGCTATCCTAAAAAAAATTAACCCGTAAAAACTAAGTTTTTCACTATAAATCCTTTATATGCGTGGCATCGGTTTTATTTTATTATTCATTTCTGTTTTTCTTGAGTAAGAGTTTCATTTTTATCACATAGGTATTTTAAATTAAATATGAAATTGTTTTTTTTCCTAAAAAGTGTAACATTTTGGAAAAAATTTTCACGAAAATAAATTGTCACGCACAACGAGTCTGTGTGCAAAATGTCAGCTCGATTGGATCACGGGAAGTGGGTTAAAAAACTACCAAAATATTTGCACGGTCGTAAGCACGCAAGCAAGCAAGCAAGCGAACTTAATATAAAGGATTTAAAAAAGGCAAACGAGCCTAACATTTCCCGACAAGGATTGCGGCTTGCAGAAAGGTAGACGGTAGCTTGTGATGTACGTAGCTTAAATCAATCGAGATTGATCTATTTTCTCTTTGTAAGTTAAGTTACACAAATGTGTTTCCCTTGTAAATGTATTTACATTATTCCACGCACAGGACAATGGCATCGCAGTGCTGTGAAAGGGCACGAGCTGTGAAGAAGAAAATAAACTCTCCCACCGCCTTTTCGTCTTTTATAGCCTTGCTTTTCTGTTGTCAAAAGATGCCAAATAATTTAATAATGAGATGGCTTTATGTCAGCGAGACCTGCAAATCACAGGGCAGTGCTAGATGTCACTACACGGCTACTGAGTATTGAGCTACAAGATGACATTTTTCCAGGAAAGCATGCACTTTAGACAACAATAATTTCGCCAATGTTTATTCACGATTCTTGTTATTGGCACCTCATCTGGTATTTTTTTGTGGGAAATTAAAGGTATTTTTTGGTTTTCTATCTCAATCGATAATAAAGGTTTTTTTATGGGTTAGATCGCGTAAATATAAATGTGTTGTTAAACCCGCCATCACCCGACACAGCCTTCCTGTTAAACAATCTATCTCAATGATTACCAGGTGTACCATTATGTTTTGTTTTTATATATATTCAATAAACTAGCATTGTAAATCTTGTTATAGACAATACAGTACAATACATGCACCAAGACTAACTCCCTTTACTGACATTTGCTCCATTTAAATTGTGCACTAGACTTAATAGATAAAGATTGGTTCAGCCTTTGCCCTTTTCAATATATGCTCACTGTGCTCTTTATATAACCGAGTCACAACCTGACATTTATTTAAAGCCTCCATATCGAGCTGCACAGCATAATGCAGCCCAAATGCTTGCTTGAAATAGGTAAAAAAGATAAATTATAATTCCCATTTTATTTGAGCATTTGGAATAAAAAAAACATTTTTAGCAACAAAAAAAACAAGGACTCGCTGCACAGTTAGCAAACTCCGCGCTTGCCAGTGGCATGACAGGGATCGAATGAAACGTACCTTTCACCTGCTAACACTGATATTGATACTGTTAATAATGAATAATAAATAATTTGACATTCACGCCGTTCTTAGCGCGAAGGTGCCATACATCTTGTAGGGTCTGCCTCTAGAGGGCTACGTTGCTTAAGTGGTTTCTACCGAGTGAAGCAATTTGTGAGGTAATTTTTTTTATTTATAGATTTTTTTTGTTTGTATTCATGTTCACCACAAGTATATGTGATTAATGCAGACATGATTCCTAGCTAAATGTTTCAGTTTGGTGTTTTAACATCTTAACACAGCTGTTTTGATTGCCAAAAAGGGTAAAGCCTTTTCTTATATTCTTTCACGCACCTCTCTTTTTTAATCTGGCAAAACCATTCATCCTTTTGTTGCTGGAGGCTTAAAATTACAGGCAAAAAGGGCCTTGAGTTATTAAAATGTGAATGTTTAAATGTCCACATTGAATTGCGGGGGGTGCGTGCACTCCATGTTAAGAACCGCTGTCTTAAAGAGTTCATAACGGAAGTCTCAAACTACATATCGCCCTGAAAAAGGTTATGAGCAATGCCCCATGTAGACGTTGATCATGGTATGTTTGAGAGGGTGCGTGGTGGCACAGCGGTTCCCACTCTGCGCTACGAACCCGGCGACACAAGTTCGATTCCGGCTCACGGCCAACACCAGTGTCAGCTAATTTTCAGAACCATTCTTCGGCCTCCCCTAGTTTACCTCAAATGGGTATCTGGTGTGGTGTGTAAGTATCGCTACTAGGGAGACAAAGGCGGTCGGACTGTGGTGCTGGCCACCCACCCCACTGCATACCTTTCCGGCCTTAATAGGTGCTCGCTAACAGAACTTGCCTGAAGAGTCTGTTAAAGGCTATATGGGTGATCCTTGTCTTTGAATGTCTGACACACATGGCTGAACATTCTGGAAATGTCTTCTTGGTTCTTTCGGTAAAGTAAAATAAAACATAATAAAATAATTATCACGACGTTTCGGCCACAACGCAAGCAGCCGTCCTCAGGTGGAGAACAGGTCCGTCAGACTCTGTCTACTTGACGGACCTGTTCTCCACCTGAGGACGGCTGCTTGCGTTGTGGCCGAAACGTCGTGATAATTATTTTATTATGTTTTATTTTAATTATTTTATTACTTCTCTTCTACGTGACTTTACCGAAAGAAACAAGAAGATGAATCCCTGCAGTCACGAAAGCTTTAAATCGAAATTCTGCAAATGATGAATGATGTAGAGACCATACGATATACCATATGTATATATGCGGTATAGACGATATATATACAGAGCCCATTCCATGGAGAAATGGTTAGAACACTGGACTTAAATATGCAGAGGTCACCGGTTCGATTTGATCTCGAAAGCAGCAGCTGACGCAACGGGGCAAGTTCTTAAATCCCCCAAACTCCATTCGCCGAGTAGTGCAAAGGGCTTCAACAGAGTCAGTCTATCGGCAGGTCTCGTGTGGTGGGATGAAGTGTGGAGTCCTCTGACCTCTACCAAGACAGCCAAGTCAGCATAAGCGAGTAAGGCAAATAACGAGTAGAGGCACATTCTCTCTCGAGCTTGTATCGAGTGGAGGAGGCCTTCCTTGCTGTCAGCAGTGGCGAGAGCAAGATCATCGCAGGACCGCGTCTCTGTTCTTCATCACGAGGGCGAACACGTGTTTGAATGCAAAGCGTTGCGGGATGCAGCAGCAGCAGTCTATGCTGCAGACCTACCTCAGGGCCCACATGTAGCTGTGTGAGTAAGGGAAGAAGTGATCCGGCTCTTCACAGCAGTATTTGAGGTCAGCAAAGCCGCAACAGTAGGTCGCTGAGCTCGAGTCGTCTGGCCCCGGGCACATGAACGCCAGCACGGACACATGCTCAGCATTCGTGTAGCCACTGCACAGGGCAGTTGAATCTATAACACACGGCAAATCATTGCAGGGATACAAACGTATGCTAAAAATACACGATGTAAATGCAACTTATCTTCTTCAACGCGCTTGTATTTAAGTCCAATTTTTTTTTCGCCATTTATAATCACCCTGATGTCACAGGGCCACGTTTAAATGGATTCCCAGTAACAAAGTAAATTGCCTTCTTTGCACAGTCACTAATATACGAAACTGAGTTTCGCAACGAGAGAATTACGACGCTAACAGGAGGCCAGCGAAGATTAACACTGGTAAAGAAGCATCGACAGAAGTATGTTTTTTTAATCATAGCTTCGTGCATGTCCATGTCAAAATGTTTAAGGCACTGCAGTCAAAGTTTTTTAATAAATGACTCGGTCATGCAGAATTTTTTTTTTGCATTTTGGGTTCGTATTGCATAAAGGTTATATGAACGAATTTTGCGTAATGTACATTCTCGTGAATGTAACATCGACTTCAACATTCCATGAACACATTTCTGCAGCGAAATATTAAATTAAGCTTTCATGTGGTGAATGCACAATGAATATATAATGCACGAACATTACTATGTAGATGCACGTGCGCGTTCCAAACTCTATTTGTGCTGACAAGTGCAAAAAAGTCCTGCAGTTGATCCGATCTCCTTCCTGGGAGCTTTGCCTCCCGCCCAGAGGTCGCAACCGGGTACCCGATACCCGTACCCTACCCGATACCCGGCTACCCATACCCAGCCGGGTACGGGGTACCCGTTTGCGACCCTGGTGCGGCCGGGTACGGGTAGACCGTGAGTCACTGGTGAGTCACCGTTTGTCACTCATTTCCCAACGTCTTGTCTCTTCTCACAATTCAAGTTCCCAGAATCAACCCACCCGCGCCTGCAACATGGCTTGGTCCCAGAGGTCGCAATCATGTACCCGATACCCGTACCTTACTCGTACCGGGCCGGGTACGGGTAGGGTACGGGTACGGCTGGGTACGGGTACCCGTTTGCGACCCTGGTGCGGCCGGGTACGGGTAAAGAATCAAAACCCGTTTGCGACATCTGCTCCCACCTCTGTCTATAATTGTTAGCAGGCACACGTGGCGATGAAGCACATTTAGATGATGATTTCAGCAACCGAATGTGTCTTGCGATGCGATGCAGGAGAAGGTCTCAGCTCATTGTTGCTGCTGCAGTTTGACGTGCTTGTAACGAGTATCCTATAGCAACATCCAGTGCCAAACACGAGAAAACTTTCTGCCCTACAGTCACTTGCTGCACTCACACGTCCCTTGCATCACTGGTCGATGTTGAGTGTCAATGCCACTTTGGAGGTAGTCCTCGGCAAAAGTTCTACTTCCAGTCATAATTTACTCTATTGTCCTGATACATATTGACAAAAATCATGGTTCTTTCTCCTGGAGGACAAGTGCCGTTTTCTATGTACCTCGTGTCAAGGGATCACTGATGAGGAACATTAATCTCCAATCGCCAACCTCGACCCTGTTCTCAAGAGCATACTTTTTGTTCCTTTCATTTGTCACTGCTATAGCTATAGCAGCAACAGACGGGGAAGTTATTCGATGTACAACGGCCAATCTGTTGATACAATTAAGATAAAATTCTTACAAATTAAGATCGATTCATAACACACACATCAAATGTAAAAATAATGTATTATCTATGGTATACTGTATGGAAATGACTTTCAAATTATATTCTGCTGTTACATTGAGGCTGAAGCGGGGAGCAACGTGTAAAACAACAATACTAATTACTGTATTCTAAAAACAACAAAATAAGAAATATGGCCCCTAATTATGACAATTTATTTTAACCTCTGGATGGATGTATTGTTGCATGCCGAGTTGCTATGGGAGCCGGGTGGTATAGAGGTAGGGTTCGTTTTTTAGTTCATTGCTCGCTGGTTGTTGAAATGCCTGGTAAATATAAATGTGTCGTTAAACCCACCACCACCCGACACAGCCAATTAGTAAGGTTTATCACGTAAACAAAACATGCCAATGAACGTGACAGACCTTACTAATTGGCTGTTGGGTGGTGGCGATTTTAACAACACATTTATATTCACGCGATCTCACCCAAAAACCTATTGTTAATAATATTGGCCGTGAATGCCTACGTGTGAGACTGAATGTCTGGTGTTGGCCAAGTCAGTGTATTGGGCTCATTCCATTGCAGTCTCTTCTCGGGAGTGTTGACTGAGACGCAATTGGCCTAACACCTTGGAGTGAGGCCTCGTACAGAATGACATTTTTGACCTCAGATATTTTCAGAATGTGTGTGCACACGTACCATACACAATTCCTTAATCCGCTGATGCACTGAATAACACTTATGATCCCACCCAACTTCAGCCTCCTCATACATACGGTGTAGTATCTGTATTATTCATAAGTTCCCCTGGACGCCTCAACTTTAGACATTTCGACAATAACACGGACTGCTCCTTCCAAAGTGTGAGAAAGTTGTACTATTGCAAGACCCATAGAGTGGGAATCCACCATGTGTGGCCACTACAGTACACAGGGACAACATTATTGAGATCTCATCAAAATAAGTTTCAGGAAAGTTCTCATTATGCGTGCTGTCCTCAGAGATATAAAAAATGGCATTGCCTCGATTTCATAGTCAACAGCTTTACGATGACCATTAAGAGCAATTGCTAAATATACATTGCGACACCATAATGAGCACTTGTTAAAATGTCTCCATCATATATTTTCTGAATAAAAATGGTAAACATGCCTTATTTAACTATGTAAATTAGTATGCAAAACGCAAGTGCAGATTTATAGGACGTTTTCACTGACCAAGCACTGCAGCTATAAACAATTATTTAGCTCTTTAACAACAAAATAAACAAACAGAATTGATTATTACGGATTCTTAGTTTTTGGCACGTAATAGATTGCTTGTATGTCTGGATAATGAGGCAATTTAAATATGGAAGTATTGACATCTGCCATGTTTTATGGAGATGCTGCAGACCCATAACTGAGCACTTGAACATTTAAATGTACAACATATTTGGTTTGGATCGGCCTAATACAATAACAATCAACGCCTACATGAATACTTGATTATTCTGCTATGTTTCTACAACATGTGTCAGTCATTATCACAACGTATTTTTCTCAAGGATAAATAACAGAAAGTAATTCAGTAGGTGTACAAAGAAAGACGGTTGTGGAACATTGCAGAATGGTTGCATCTCTTACAAGGCCAAGTGACAACAACATGCAGTTGGAGATTCCTGGCACACGGAGTCGTTTTGTTTTTTAAGCCCGAACAAATGACGATGCATGCATCACATGTACACCAAGTTCAGAATGTGTATGCGCATGTAAAAAAGATGTAGTCTAAACAAGTAGCTTGAGCAATCGACGTATGCAATATATATTGTATGTAGACATCATTTTGTGGATTGGATTCAGATGACCTCATCTATTATTAATACATTTTATCCCAACGCTACGGAATTGCAAGATATTTATCCATGATTTTCACCCAGTCCATGATATCCAGAACGTGGTGGAAAGCCATTCGGAAACCCACAATCTAGTGCAGGCATGGTGTATACTTTGGTTTTCTTGTTAGGGTGAACCTCGTGTGAATAATCGCATTCAACCCAGACGCATTTATAGCGGGCGCATCAATGAGTTTTAAATACAATTAAGGCAAAGAGATGCATTGTACTGGCAACCCCAACTTTTAAACTGCATATTGTTTTTTAGGGAGCAGCTATAATTGCGCACAATGTATCGGATGTTAAATGCCCTATGTCTCAGTGCAATGTCTTGCACTCATAATGAGTGAATATAACGTTCAAGGTACCTCTTCATTTAAATTGGGTTTCAAACGTTCAAGCGGCGACCAGGTTACTTGCTCAAGGTGCATTACTGAAGCCTATTGTAGGTTTTTACCTTTTTAAGTCGCAAGACCTTGCCGCTCAACAAAGGGAGTAATTGTATAATTCACAAAGTGGAACCTTCCTATGCGTGAATAAACCCCAGTGTCACTTAAAGAAAGCTTTTGCTGTAATCGACAACAGCTCCTGACATGTCACATGCATCATTAGTAATCATTAACACGGCGCTTGACCTCCCTATCGTTCTTTTATTTCGTTATCCTAAACGTGTTGGTATATATATAATGGCGGTGGAACGGTGCAACCAGTTTTCAATTAAACATTGTAACTGATTCATAAGAGGGGTTTTTTTGGGGGGGGTTAAATCGCGTAAACCCCAAAAAACCCTCTATTATGGATGATATTGGTCGCGAAAGCCTACGTGTTAAACATTGTAACTGATTATACGTGCACGGAATAAATGATAGCCAACCAGAATATATATATGTTGTGCTCGTCTCCTGCTTCCTGCTTGGGTACATCACGAAAACCCTTCTCGCGTGCTTAGGAAGAAGTGTAAACAAAATGCATGGCCGCTAAAGTGCATGTGGCCTATACTATTTGGTTCTTTCGGTAAAGTCAGGTAGGTAGAAAACAATTTAAAAAATCACGACGTTTCGATCGCAATACAAGCGTGATATGTGATTTTTTGTTTAATTATTTTTTTCTACCTACGTGACTTTACCGAAATAACCGAAGAGTATGGATTCCTGCAGTCACGAAAGCTTCAAATCAAGATTTTTGTTATTTCTTGCTATTTTATTTGAACCTATCTACGTGACTTTACCGAAAGAACCAAAGAATATGTACGTGAATCGTTTGTTCAATATAATACTTTTGGAAACAAGATATAATCTGATTATTTCTTTTCACGTTTTTAAGAATTTACTGTTATTCTAAGTTTGATTCGTTTAGTTGAATATTTTCAGTCTCCAATGCTTACATGTGCTGCCTCTGATATTGCTCCTGTGTCTCTTGCTGTTTTATATTGTAGTCTCGTTAAACTTGTCACTTGTTCTTTTTGTTATTCACAATAATTTTCTCGTTAATTTACAGTTTGGATCTTTATTTAATTTACTCTAAATTCAAATTATATTCATTGTATTATCTTCCTCTCCCAGGTATATTCTGCACTGCCGACGTTTGCTCTTATCGCTCACTGCTCTCTTGTGAAAGTTCTGTCTTTAATAATAATTTTATTTTGTAGAGCGTCATTCATGCAATTCCATCCTACAACGCTGCACATCATTAGCAAGTCCATTACTCAGGTGATACAAAAACAAAACCCTACTACTTAGAAAATAAATAAAAATAAAGATGAATACATGCACATAACAAGAAAATGTTCATCACAGAGAAATACATCAATCCGTTTGGTCTCCATACCCCAGACCATAATCCCAACATTTCGCCGGATTTAGGAAAACCTTCACAGGAGTGTTTGTGGAGTGGCCAAAAAATGATTTATTTTAACCCGATTTACATGCTCTGAAAGTTTTTTTTTAATTATGCATTCATTATTTAAAATCTAATTACCATGTAATTGCATTTTAACTGTTATGTTAGTTTGATTACTTTAGTCTGAGAAATCACGCGGCAACCTGCTAACATTGCTGTGCTGGGCTTGCAAGTAGTGGTTGCCTGGGTCAGTCAGTGCTGCTGCGTGTTTGGTGACCTGCCAGCATGTGACGTTAACACGGCATCGCTCTGCCTACATGGTGCTGCTGATTGCTGCCGGGTGCTAGCGGTGCTGACGTCATCAACTTTTCCTCCACTATCTCTGGGGTGTCCACCCTGCCTCTGGCTTCACCGACTTTGCTGTTCATCAGCAACGCTGTTGTCACCGACTGCCAGAGTTGCCATCAATTTGGCTCTGCCATTGTTCGCCTTCACTGCCACTGCTGTCGACGGCTGGGTGCCTGCAAGTGACCTACCAACATCATCTACTAAATTTCGATTTAAAGCTTTCGTGACTGCAGGGATTCATATTCTTGGTTCTTTCGGTAAAGTCACGTACAAGGGAAATAATAAAATGATAAAAATAAAACAATAAAATTATCACGACGTTTCGATTGCAGCACAAGTAATCACTATCAGGTGTGAAAACCACAGCAAGAAAATTTGAAAACAGTGGCGGTTAAGAAAAAAACGCCACTTTTTTCAAATTTTCTCGTGATAATGAATTTTTAATTTTTATTCTTTTATTATTTCCCTTCTACGTGACTTTACCGAAAAAAACAAGGATATTATCTACAAACAGGAGTCATCCTGTGCAGCCTGTCCACTACAGTTAGATACATTACTCAGTGGCTAATACTGCCTTTTCTACTCATACTGTGTCCCTTGCACTAAAATTATCCACTGTCACCACCATACTTAGGAAATGTCACCTCGACCCTGACATTCTTTAACATTTTCACCCAATCTAAAGAATCTCCAATTTCTCGGGAAGGCTCTGAAAAATAAAATAAAAAATATCGCGATATATCTAATGAGCTTTCAATCTATGGTTTCTAAGATCCAGTGCAGTCTGTTTTTCGACAAGGCCATTTTACAGAGACGGTTCTTTTATGTATGGCCAATGACCTAGTCTCTGCCCACCGTGCATCTCTTATGCTTCTGGTTCTCCTTGATGTCACATCTCTGTTCCACACCTTAAAGACCACCACATTATTCTCCAGTGCCTTGCGAAATACATAGGCACATCAGGAACTTTAATCTCTTTGTTTTGTTCTTATCTATCAATTTGTGCTTTTAATGTCACATTCCAGGGTAAATCTTCCTCTCTAAAAGCATAATATTATGGGGTGCCTTAGGGATCCTCAATCCACTGCTTTTTCAATTTACCTGCTTCCACTGAGTAGAATAATATAATTTAAAGGTAGAATATAATACGTGTTTATGGTTTCCTGTCAACCACCCACAGTGTTCACTCTTGAAGTCTACCTTGAAGAAATTTCCGACTGATTTAGCTATTTTTTTCATTTAAATATCCTAATATGAGATCCTAAAGTTTTCAAGTCAAATATGCATCTCCTAGACTCTAATATTAAGTTGGCAAAAATTGGTGCACAACCTTTGGGATCCTGAGCTTTGATTCACCCACCACATATCCCACGTCTGTGAGACCTCCTCCCTGCAAATGCAACATTTTTTACCTACCTAAGAATATATAATCCTTGCAATCACGAAAGCTTCAAATCTAGAATTAATACCCTCTACGGGGAGGAATTCCACCTATCTGTTAGAGTTTTTAACAGACAACGAGACAAGAAGTCACAGCTTCTCGAGACGCTGGCCTTCACTTGATACAGCAGGCGTGCTGTGACGGTTCCACCTGAAGACGGACGCTTGTGTTGCCTCCTGAAACGTTGTTATTTTTATTTTACTTTTATTAATTAATTTTTTTACCTACGTGACTTTACCGAAAAAACCCAAGAATATGCAAAGCATTGCCCACACTTGCAATGTTATGGATCCACCGTCTGGACTGCTGCAACTCGCTCTGCCATAGTCTCCCAAATGCCCTTATTTTAAAGCTACAGATGAGGATCCTCACCTGTACACGAAAACAAGATCATATCAGCCCAGTACTACATTATCTCCACTGACTTCCTGTCAAGTCTCGGATTCATTTTAAGATTGCAGTGATTGTTGTTTTTTTCTGTTTCGTCTTCATGGTCCTGCCCCTGTCCACCTCTACTCTCTCGTCTCACTTTACTCTCCTCCTGACGAAGCCCACAGTGAACCTTTGTTCCATAACGTCGCTCCTTCTCAGCTTCTGCTCCTGCTGCCTGGAATTCTCTTTCACTTTGAATTTCGTGCAGTTGAGAGTCTACCCTTGTTCAAGTCAAGACTTGAGACCCATTTGTTCATGTTCAAGAGGTAAAATGTACCCCCCCCCTCCCACTCCTCCTCTGGAAGCATCTGGAGATGTGATTTCATTTTGATGTGATATAACTGTATATTGTATTGTATTTTTTACGAGTGGAGGAAAATAATAAGTGTAGTCCCATTGTGTTAGGCAATGTAAACTAGCTTTAAAAGAGAAAACAAATCAGAACAACTGAAAAGTCCATCATTACAACTGCCTTACAACAGAAAACGATATACTGTTGCAGGCTAACGTTTCAGGTAATAGCCCTTCCAAGAGTGCAGGTATTGAATGACATAGTTGGAGATCACAACTGTTAGGCAGTCGCCCCGTCCCTTTTCTACCTTGATTAAGGGTCACTTGCCGGAATCGCTCGCCAATGTTTGCTTCTATTGTAAGGTAGCATAAATAACGTGGTCAGTGTATGTGTTTTAAAATTGCCGCTACAACCAACGCAGTTCCTTAATTAATATATAAATACACACACTTTTTTTTCGATAACGACAAACATCAAAAAAGTCAAAGACGCACATAAACCCAACAGGTTCCGTACCCCGGACAAATACATTCCCGATTTCGCGCGGTGCATAAAGTAGCGCATTACGAGCAAACAGACCCACGCACGCAATTCTCGCGGCGGCCGTTAAATCACAACAAGTACAGCGCCAAGCCGCGAACGTTCAATTCTCTTTGGTGGCGACGTTTCTCTCAAAGCCACGTACCCACGGTTTCGTTGCTGGGCGCCTGCTCTGGACTGCACGGGATCATCTTGACTCTGCTCTGCGTTCGCTTCGATGGTGAAGCGGCGAGCGCGCGCTCGTTCGGCAACCATGGACAGCTCCACCCCCCGCCGGCACGGAGGTGGGGGCCACCACCGCCATACTCTACGCCGACTCAACACATCACCATTAGACCCACCTCGTCACTCGCCCGCCCCCCCCCCCTCCCAACACAATAAAAGGCTTGCTGGATGATGTGCGATTTTAACTCTGACATATACGTGGTTCTGCTGCTGCCGGACTCCACAACATTTGAGCCTGGCGTAGTGTTTTACCCAAAGCATATTTACGACGACTATTTAATGCCATTGATGGTCATGCCAGCGCATTCGCGATCTTCTCTAATGAAGAGCTCCGTTCAACTTCTCACGTTGTCCCACCAACAGATAAATGTTCTTCCTCTTTCACTCATCCCTTTCTGTATCGTCGAAGTAATATTTCCAGCTGGCCCTCTTGGGATGTGCCCTGCATTACACGATCTTCATTCTTATCAGACGTCTCTAAATCCATGCTTATAGCCACGAACGTATTATTCAATAGACACAGTAGGCACTGTGCCTAGGGCCTACGAAAGAAAATGTTTATTTGTATGATAACAAAAAATATCACCAAGATCTCTTCTCGAATACATATATTTACATAGCAAGGATGGGCACAGTGTTTAAAATTGAATCTGCGTATCTGCGGCACACAGCGTGCTCCCATCGAATTAGGGCACAGACTAAATAATGAACGTATCAGTTAACACAAATCTGTCCGGCGTGAAAACAAGTGAGTGACAGCGGCGGCTGAAGTAAGAACATGGGGCAGCAGCAGCAGCAGTACCAACTGTGGAAAGTTATCACTAAATGCATACGAAACAGAAGTGCCTCCAAGAATCATAATCTGGTCCTGCTTACTGCTGTTCTCTCTCCGTACAGCTTCATTCTTTTATTAAACCCACCAGCCCACTCTTATCCGAGCTGCAACAGGAAGCTATCCATATCGCCTGATGTATTGATCTGCCTCTGCCTTATAAGCCAGAAACAAACCCAACAAAAAAACACTCAGCACGTTCATCAATATAATTGTGGGCTGATACGGAAACAGATATAATAGGTGACATTTCAGGCAATGGTCCTTCTGTAGAGCACACAGAAAGAGTGGATAAGAGTTGCATAGCATCTGCACTAATGTATACACCGTGGGGCCTGATAAGAATAACATTTTCAAGTTTTTTTCCCTTCCTGATTACGTTTATAAATGTGCATATGCAGAGCTGCCTAACATGCGAACCTTGTTGCTTATCATTAACCCATCCAAAATGGAATCCTTGAAAAAAGAACGTTCACCTTCATAATTGTATCCCCAAATTTCAATAATTTCATACCAAAGTGTTCATAACGCCTTAACAATCCCACCTGCGACGCAATGGTTCAATGAACCTCAAGAAGAGCCAGATCCGTAATTTTGTTTATTTGTTTGTGGGGGCGCAGAAGGCTAAGTACCCCCCCCCCCCTCCATATAAATTATACACAACATATGCTTAAAACCATTCTACGGTTTATTCAGCCTCTCCGCTCGTATAATGCGGCGTGAAAGCTGGAGACGAACTCAAGCCGGACCAAAGCGCGTGGCGTTTTCAGTGAAACGTTCGAGGGCCCGCCAAGAGTAATGCTTTTAGTGCAAACTGTTATAATTGAACACATTTTGTCTGCAAAAGACGGGTTCTGGCTGGCGTTCAAGGACCCCAGTGGAACTCGTAATTAGGCCAAATGGAAACGGTTGTGTTGTGCAGTCGCGAAAAAAAAAGTAAAAGCATTTGAAATAGTTACCAACGTGAATTGTGTCAAAGATTCGGATAGGTGCGCACTTAATGTTTGACTGCGTTTAATGCAACGTTGTAGATCTCTTCTGTGACCAAATCAAGCGATCCATTAATATCTCGTGAGCTAAGGTGAGTTGAGCCTGGATAATACTTGCATGAGCGACCATCACGCACAACAACTGTTGTACTCTATTACGTCTATGCCACGCCCTGCCCACCTAAAACCCGCATTCATCCTCGTGGTCATGTACCATACTGGTCAAGTGTGGTTAAACTAACTGCCACGACCCAGCACTGCAGGGGGAGGCTTTCCTAAATTCGTAGATTGGGCAAAAAGCGTTGTATGTACATGTGCACGTGCATCTTACACGCGTGTACTTTCACCGTAATGCCGAACGATGTGCAATGATTGAAACTGTAGACGCCAACTAATGACGCTTGCGAAGAGAGCGAGCCTTGCTCCATCGTCCGCATGCCCCTTGTTCACTACTGCCATCTGCTGTGGATTCTGCAGGTGCAGCATGGTCGGCGTTGATGCGGCATTGGGGGAGCTAAGGTGACAGACACGATAGCTTAAATGTATTACATGTCCCCCGGCTAAGTGTCCCAGCGGAAAAAAATCCTGATAAAAGTAATTTCATGCAGCATTGTGCGTGACATTTTGGATTAATATCGATTTATTTTGGAAGCTAATTATGAACTCCATATAAAATTTCGGGAGTGTAAAGTCGTGTATAGGAATACAGTACCAATTATTAAATTATCTTTGAATTTATTTGCTATCGAATGCTAAATCAGCACATTTCATGTTTATATCTCTGTTATACACTAATTGTATATACTCACAGATATACCATACTGCATTTATATACGAATACAAACCTGGAACGACCACATTTCCAAATGTATACCTCATCCAGTTTTTTTTTAAACTAATAATTGCAGAGGTGTCTTCATGGTTTTGTTTCGTCCTTTGAAGAGATAATATAGTGGGGCATGTTAATGTGTTATGTATATATGGGTGAATAGCAGGGGTGGTACAAGACAATGTCTCGTGTGCCTAACAGCTGCGCTCGACGCATGAACCCAACAGCTCTAGACAGTGATGTCACAAGCCAAATCAGGTAAAACAGTGGAGAGCAAAGCCACACTACGTTACTCATTTGCCTTATTAAAATATGTGGAATACTTTGGCCACTGTGGGAAAAAAGCAGGAGTTTTACATTTGGATCTGTGTGGTGAACGTATGAGGCAAGAGCAACACGAAATGAATGTGAAAATGGTGATAAAAGTCAGTTTCCCTACATCGTGACTATGGCATAATTTGGTCATTCGGGTCACTTAGAGTGTGAATGTCTAAGGTGGTGGAGTTAAAGTTCCTTAGTAAAAATAATTGAACGGGAGTGATGGAGAGCCAGTTTAGAGATGAGCTAACAATAGAGGTCAGATTTTTGTAGTTGGTCAATGGGATTATTTGTTGGTCAATGGACGTGAATGGGCAAGAATGAGTATTTGGAGCTCAGAAATATACCACGCTAATGAGGTGTATGGGATGGTAGATCCATGTGAAAGTAACGATACAAATAGAAGTTCCCATCATATCTGAGTTTTATTGTCGTACGTGGGGTAAAAGGCACACACACATTTTATGGGCTCCAAATAATTATTATTGCGTGGGTTTTCTCCAGGTAATCCCGTTTCCTCCCACATGTAAACACTCATTAATTGGCCGATAACACCTGAATATATAGTGGACTGCAGAGCTTGGGAATTTTTTGGCGCTGGATCACGGTGTGGCTGCCTTCCTGCTCATCCGCGGTTCAGCGTATCTCCGAGTCATTCTCTGTCGTCGAGAAATGTAAGCATGCTTGTATGAACAATTGATCCACAGTAAAATAAATATACTGCACAAGGAACGTGTACTAACTCATCATGAACGGCATTTAACTTGATCATCCTCACTGGTTTTGGCTCAAATGACAGCACCGTCAGATCACAGAGATGATGCCCGTGACAAGCTTCAAAATAAGGAAGGAACACTCACAAGAATACAATATGATTGGCAGTGTTAGAATCAAGTGATCAAGAGAGATCAACTTGCCATATGTCTCCGTGATCCACCTTTTACCGCATACAAGTAAACCTGATTAATTAATTTATTTTGATAGACTGGAGCGTGGGGGGGGGGGCTTATACAACTGATTGGGGAAACTGCTTGAATTGGGACACAATTTTACGAGCCCTCTATAGAAGGATTGCAACCTATGGGTTTAAAAATACTTTTGAGAAAGTAAACGATCAGTGGGTATGAAGAGTGGCAAAATCATTTCAGAAAATCTAATTCTGAGAGAATTCATCATCAAATACAACACTTCAAAAGAAAATGTTGTTTTACAGCGAGGTTCTGATTGGGTAAAATTAAATGCTGTCTGCTGTTTTTTCAACTGATACAACATGTTTGTAATGTTTCCTAATTTGTTATGCTCTCAAGTTTGAAAACACTTGAAGTGGAGATTATTATTTGCGATGTTCACCTGTAGTGAATATATCCAGTTTAATTCTCCTCACCTATTACTGATATCAGAAGCAACATCATTGAACAAACTGAGTGCTTCATAATGTACATTACAATCCCACATTGATCATATCTCTAAGAAAATAAAAAATAGGATTTTTTAAAATACGGAAACATTGTTTTCACATTCTATTACGCATGCAAATTGTTAAAGCTATAATTCTACCAGTGTTTGACGATGGTGTTGCTGCTTAAGAATCAGCTCCTAATTAATCGATAAACAGACTAAACCCACGTGATTAATCTGCTCTTCGATTTGCACCGTATATATTTTTTTAGATTTGAAGCTTTCGTGACTGCAAGGATTCATATTCTTGGGTTTTTTCGGTAAAGTCACGTAGGTATCAACTAAAATAGATCACGACGTTTCGGCCGCAACACAAGCGTCCGTCATCAGATGTTGCGCCCGAAACGTCGTGATCTATTTTATTTGATACCTACGTGACTTTACCGAAATAACTTGGCAACACATTTTGACCACAAATATTGTGGTTAATGCAGACATGATTCATTGTAAAAAGTTTCAGTTTGGTGTTTTAACAACTTAACACCTGTTTTGTTGCCAGATAAAAGGGGAAAAACTTATTCTCATATTTTAGTACTGGCAAAGGAGGTCCCATGATGACGGTGAGCGAAGTTGTGTGTTTTATGTGGAG